CCGTTGAATCCGAATCCAACGTTTTTACACCCTGATATTCAGCATATCATTGACTCTGCCTTAAAGCCGTCCACAAGGAAGTCATATAAGGCTAAATAGAAACGTTTTTCCACCTTTGTCGAGTCACGTTCATTCTCTCCATTCTTCTCATCCATTCAACAGATTCTTCAGTTCCTCCTGGAATTGCACCATTCCGGACTGAAGCCGTCATCCATTACAGTATATACAGCCGCAATAGCCTACTACCGTGGCTTAGTCGACGGATCACCTCTGTTTTCTCATCCTATCCTCAAAAGATTTTTGAAGGGACTATATAATCTTAACCCATCAATTAGACCGGTTATGCCCACATGGAGCCTCTCTGTAGTTCTACAGGCCCTTGTGAAGGCCCCCTTCAAACCTTTGGTGACGGTGGATCTTCGATTGGTCTCTTGGAAGACGGCATTTCTTGTAGCTGTCACTTAAGCCTGGAGGGCCAGTGAACTTTGTGCTCTTCGCATAGACCCTCCTTATTTAAACTTTCACAGGAAGAAGGTCGTTTTACACCTCGACCCATCTTTTTTGCCTAAAGTGTCTACACCTTTCCATACGGGACAAGACATTGTGCTGCCTGCCTTTTTTCCGTCACCGTCGACTCCATTGGAAAGATCTTTGCATTCACTCGATGTTCGCCGTTGCTTAGCCTTCTACCAATCGCGAATGGAGTCTATTCGACGATCCAATAAATTATTCATCAAATATTCTGCTAGGGATCAGGGCGATCCAGTCACTCCACAGAGACTTTCTAAGTGGATAGTCCACACTATAGTCTTATGCTATCAATTAGCTAAGCTCGAACTGCCTTCAGTTCTTCAAGGCCATTCTGCTAGAGCTGTTGCAACCTTGTCTGCATTCGCATCCGGGGTCCCGATTGATGATGTCTGCCGAGCCGCTACTTGGGCGAACCCTTGCACCTTCGCCGGGCACTACTGTCTCAATGTTCGAGCTCGACAGGATTGCTCCTTCGGTAGAGCTGGTCTCTCCTCTGTTCTTCAATGAGGACACCTTCCCTCCTCCTTTATGGTAAGCTTGTTAATCTACCCATATGTGTGATGCACAGAGGCCACGACAAAGAAAAGCAGGTTGCTTACTTGTAACTGATGTTCTTCGAGTGGCCATCTGTGCAGTCACACAACCCACCCGCCGGCCCCGCTCGATGTTGGTGAGTGGATGCATCTTTCGGTACCGACTGTGCCCTTTTTCACGGTACCAACATCAAAAAACAAACAAAGTTTTTTCAATAAGATACCGTACGTTCGGTCACAAAGACTGAACAAAATGGCAGACGCTCCGCTCTTTATAGGCCACAGGGGGGAGGGGGACCGGAGCTTCCCGCCAAAAACTGTTAGCTGTCAATCTTCCGGCCACAGGCACTGCGCAGGCGCAGTACCCCATATGTGCGATGCACAGATGGCCACTTGAAGAACATCAGTTACAGGTAAGCAACCTGCTTTTGCCAATTAAATGCCCAGTTCTATATCACCTCAGCAGATGTGTCCAACACCCTCATGATGCCTGCAAAGGAACATCAGCTGTACAATGGGCAGCTGGCAATGCTGAAGTGATGCTTTTGAGAAGCCCTTGTGATAGGGCACATCTTTTCCTATACAGAGGGTCCAATTCAGTGGTACTAGAGATTTTCCAAAATATAATGAAGCAAAGATCTTCTGTCACAATGTCCTTGTACCTCTATGCAAAGGCAGCATTATTTGGCCATAGAACCCATTCAATAATAAAAGTAAGTATAATGTATGCAGTCAAAGCTTCATTTCAAAACAAAGATTTTTTTTACATTTTGCAATATTTTTGTACATTTTATTGTTAACATTATCATAGACTTACATCTTTTCTGTGTAATGTTATACAATGCTACTATTTTCTTTCTTCTGTCCTTTCTTTTTAAAATCTTTTAGAATGGAATAGATTGGTGCCCTCCATATGTTTCCAGCTACAGCTCATATAGTCCCTGCCCATGCTGGCTGGGGCCGATGGGAATCCATAACATATTGAAGGCATTATGTTACCCAACCCTTCTGTAGAAATCTATGGTTAGTTCAAAATGCACTAATGATCTAGGGGTATGAATGGACCATGCAGGCCTAACCCAGTGTATGGAACTTTCATGTTACCTTATTTTAATGTCGCGCTTTTCAATTAAGCTTTTTCCCCACATTCCGCTGCCAGAGATTCAGTGTAAAAACCAAATGATACACATGACTCTGTGAAGGAATTAATAACCCTACTACATCCCATCCTCAGGATTTTGTATGTTATACTATTTGTCCTTTCTGCTTTGTTGCAGTTGATAGCCTGTCTTTTCCAGAAAGTATTAACCGCCACTGCAAACAGTTGTTTGCTCAGAATGGCAAAGGACTGATTCCACAGTTGCACAAAGTTGGGGGCATCTGTTTTTGTCTCTGCTCTCCGCTGAAACAAATGTGAAAAAATATGCCTTGTAAGCTATTAATAATTGTGGTAGTCCAATCCTATGCAATTTTGCTTAGAAGCAAGGCCTATTCAAGTCAGTGGATCATTCAGTATGCCACAATACTTTGAGGAGTTAATAAAGTTGGTTTGCTATGTTGTTATAGCTGGCCTGGATTGGCTCACTCTGGCAAACCATACTGCCTCCATCTTACCCAGGTCCAAAAGACAGAGCCTCCCATTGCCAGTCAGCTGCAGGTTTCTGCTTAAGTAAAAGGCTGGGTCACCTGATGCTAGCAGTGCAATGCACATGGCCTAGCTGAGATCTTCAGTAGGCCAACCACTGGCACTTAACCAATCTATTCAGTAGTGAAGTGTTCAGGTGCCTGACCAGTAGGAATCTCCTAGAAGCCAGGGATGAGCTATTGCCAGAAAGACAACAGACAAAAACAAAGAGATACTTCTGAGCTCTCCACCCAGGCAAAGGGAAGGGACCAAATGGGAAAGGGAGTTAGCCCAAGTGCCAAGAGCAAATTTGTTCTAGCACAAGTGCCAGGAGCAAATCTTACACAAAGTAAGGGTGCTTGAGGCAGGCACATGGAGAGATTGCCCAAGGTTCCTTCAGTATATGCACCCAAGTGTAGTTTTTTCCCCAACCAAAAGAGGAAAGACCTGTCACAAGCATTAGGAAAACTTTGCTAGGAATACAATGATCTTCAGGAACCAGGTAAGCAGCTTAATGCAGGGCTGTGCTAGCTAGTGTGCAGTGTGCAGTGTTCTTTGCCACTGATTTGCTACTTTGAAATGCTTATTTCCTTGAATACCTAATACATATTTTATCCTGTTTTCTTCAAAACCCAGATTATATTGTTTGGGGATGAAATATGAGGAGGCTTGCAAGAGCTATCTTGCATTTTTGAGTCACGCTATGCAGTTTCAATCATCCATGTTGCACAGGTCTACATGCGTAATAGAATGCACAATCCAGCTATGCTATCTGAAAGACATCAGATGGTTGCAGAGAAGTCCAGTGCAAAAGATGCAAGCGGGATCCTTGGTCAGCCATTTCAAGGGAGTGAGAGCATTGGGAGATTGCAGAGCTGAGTTCGTTTTACTCTTGGTGATGACAACCGGTAACCAGTTGGCACTGCTGCCTCAGATATTGTACCCTTTGTTGGGGTTGCCCGAAGGTGCAAGTCACCACACAAGTATAGCCCCAGTATTATAACATGTACCTCTGAATAAACAGGCATAAAATTGGCATCTATGCCTAATAAATATATTTAATGGTGTGGAAAAACTCTGTCCTTAAACTTTGAGTCTGTCTGTACCCCCAGCTCACTGAATCTTAGACATGGAACACTAATTTTTGGAATCAGAAATAAAGCCTGCGTCTCACTATCTTGTATTACTATTTCATTAATTAATTCCCAAATGTGGCATGGTATACTGAATGATCCATGAACCTTCCTTTTTTGTTGTGACTGCTATTTTATAAAAAATGTCAATCAAATCTGTCGGGTTTTAGTTTTAGATTATTTCAGGGATGCATCTACTCATAAATTACAGACTATTTCATATCCATGAATACTGGTGAATTCCCTTCACCAGTAGCTGGAGCTTCATCAAGTGATTTAATTAGATTTTGTTCACACATCAGTTATACATCTGATATTATTGCATTGTGCTGATATGTTGCTACTAGATCTGTCAATTTCTTGTAGCCACTGTGTCATTATGTTTATGGACAAGGATTCTTTTCTTTCCAGATACCATCATTCAGAGAAGATATTTCAAGAAAGTGAAGAACTTGGAGCCAAACTAAATGTTATGTTAAATGCATGACTTTTTTTTTTTACTTTCAAAATAATTGCCACGGGGGCAGGGAGCAGGAGGGATCAAGTCTGGGAGCCCTATCATGGTTCTGGTGAGAATTCCTTGCCCTGAACCTACTGTTTGCCCCAGAAGAGAAATCTGCCTTAGTACTAATGGTTGCTTTCCTTCTGGAGAAAATATCAACTTTGGAAGAGGGACTATTTCCACTTGTACAGCAGCATTGAAGTAAAAATTATATCCTCCTTGCTTTATGCACCATATACCCAGTCATAATCAGCCCATCCCCATAGCTATTATTTTGTAAAAAAAAAAAAAAGTCTTCAATGCATTTAACATTACTTCTGGTTTAGCATTGGAAGAAGGAATTGTTCTAGAATTGCTCCTCCTTAATTAGGGGAAGGGAAGTACCTGATTTGACTAGAACTCACAAGGACATTTAAATCTTCATGTCCAGTTCTCTCTCATTTTCAAGATGCCAGTACAAATTAATTTTCAATTTTGTTTGGAGAGCATAAAGTTAAGCATAGCTACCAACTAGAGGAATTCATCACTTTGCTAACACAGACAGACCCTGCAACTGATGCAAATAGAAAACATCATAGGGTATTGCTCTACTGTAATAGTATGATGGCATTTTAAAATATGATGTACCACTATCTGTAGGCTTTCTGGTGTATTACATTTCTCATTTTCTGTTTCAGCCACTTGGAGCCAGTGATTATTTGGAAATAGCCATGAATTTTGACCTAGTCTTTGTTCATCACATTCCTATATTCACAATGGCAAAAAGGACCCAAGCTCGACGCTTCATTACTCTTGTTGATACTTTTTATGATAAGAAGGTAAACATTTGGTCTGTAAGTTTGTTCAGCATGAATTCACCTTGAATTGTTCTGGAAAATACCAGGATAAGTGTTAGTCTATTTTGTAATGCAAATTAGAGAATTCTGGGTCCTCTTATACATGCTGGTGGCTTTGGAATCTAGGTGTAAGATGAAGGTAGAGTATACAAACCATAGAACAACTTGGTTGGCATAATCTAAGTATACCAAACTCTTAGTGTCTGGTACACTTAGCAATGTTGAAATCACTCCTAAGTTATGATCATTACAATCATTTCAGGTGATGGTTCTGTCTTGATTTTCTATGTTTTCCATTTATTTTACTCAAATGTACCCAATACCACAAACATCTCTCTGTCATTACTGTTCCAAAATGAACAGATAAGTAAAGTGTTAATGCATTTTCCCCAAAGTGATATTAATTTTAGAAGAAACAGCCACCTTCTACTTTAGTCTGAGTTATGGGACCTCTAATGAAATAGTAATGATAAATGCAGCACTTAACTTGGATTTACAAAGGTTTCAATCATGGAAGCAAAATCAGCAATACTAAAACAACTAAAAAAGGCTCTTTGTATTTAAGCTGATGTTTTAAAAAGTAATGGAAGACATTAAGCTTCACCCTATGTGTGATTATAGGCACACACTTAAATATTTATGCAATCAGGAAATATCGATTGAGATTAAAACCATTTTCAAGAATGTCCTAGGAAAGAAATTCATCCCCCCCAACCCCCTTCAAATCTGTAAGATAAATGGGGTCTTACCCAGATGATCATTTATCTGTTTGGTTTAGATGTTACTCATTTGTTCTGGTTAGGGATGGGGTGAAATTAATTTGCCTTGTATTTTGCTAGGAACTGACCCCAAACTAAAATGTGAACCAGAACATAATTACCTTTTAGGTTTTGCATTTTTCAAAATTCTTTTGATGTAGTTCTCTTGTCAGGAAATGCATAGAAAATGTGCACAAAAATATTAATTAGCATGCAGATTTTCTTTAAAAAATCTTGTACTCGGAAAAAATGCAAACATGATAACCCCCCCCCCCAAACAGACACATTTGCTTAGTTCAGTTGGATCCAGATGACCTTCCTTAATGTAATATTTCCATTACAGGTGGTTTCCCAGCAGCTAGATATCAACAATATTTCTCACTGGATAAACACATCACAGAGTTTATCCTATCCCATCCATAAACATTGCTTCAGAAGTGTCACACAGCTTGCTAGTATTGACTGTGACCTTGCAAGGCCAGCCATTCTGAACAGCATCACAAATTATGGAACTCCTTTGACAGGAAGGTTACAGCAGCGCTCTCATTGTTGGCCATTGGATGGCTGATTCAAAATTACAGTCTTCTGCCAAGCTTTTTTTGATTTAAGGTTAGGGTTAGGGTTGTATTTACCCTGTATTTATACAGAAAAGTTCCTACAACTCGCAGCATTCCACAGTCAAAATACATGGGACTGTACCCTTAAACTACTTTTTTTAGACGGTTCCCCTGTTTTATTATCATATGTTGTACCTGGGTTATTTATTTTGTTTGAAACTGATAAATTTGATTGTGCTTATGGCTTTATTGTATATTGCCTTGAGCACTCAATGCATGATTTAGAGTTGAGTAGTGCAACTCTTCTTATATTGTCCCTTACAATACATTCTCTCTGTATATACCTGCCTGCGCAAGCGTGTAGATGCCATAGATGGAGAACTGGAGATCTGCCCAGCTAGTGAAAACCAAATAAAAGGTTTCGCACTTTGGATGACTTCTCTTAGGGGGAATCAGAAAACATTTCCTGTGCCCTACGATTATTTTGGGCCAAGAGTTTCACATAAATACTACTTTCATGTAGCGATCAAGGGATTTTCCTCTATGTCTATGTTGCATGTTTATTTACTAGTCCATTCTATCTTGTGCCCAAATTAATTTTCAGAATTGTTTTATATGTGTACAAAACTGTTTAAAATAGATTTTTAAATGCATTTATTTATTTCCAAGATTTATATACTGCTCTGCATCTAAGCAAATTCTGGAATAGTGAATAATAGAAGATAAAAAGAATAAAATACCATATTGAGATTTTGGCTTTATGAAACAGAATACTAATAAAAGTCATAGCTGACCAATAAAGGAAAATGGAAATATTTTCTGGAGGCTCTAAAATCTACATAGTGTTTAGGGCTGCCTGACTTCCACCAGCAGGAAGCTTCAAAGAAAGAGAGCCAGCATATGTTGAACAACCAGGAGCATGCCTTCTGATTTCCTCAGTGATTGGGATGATTAATAAAGAAGAAGATGCTCCTGCAAGTATCTTGGTCCCAAGTTGTTTGGGGCTTTATACAGTAGTACCAAAACATTAAACCTGGTAATAAATAGGCAGCCAGTGCATTTCCCTCAGCAATGAATTTGCATGCTGAAAAGGAACAGCTGCTCACAACAGCCAAGCTGCTGCGTTCTGTACTAGCTCTACCTTTTGGACCAGCCTTAAGGGCAGCTCATATAGAGCACACTGTAGTAATCTAGTCCCAAGGTTCCTAGTGTCTGTACCTCTGTGACCAAACTATTACTGTCCAGGAGAGAGGGTAGCTGGCAAACCAATTGAAACCAGTAAAAGACATTCCAAGTTGCCACGGTCACTTGGACCTCAGGCAAATAACGATGGACCTAGGAAAACCTCCAGGCTATGAACCTGATCTGGATGAGGCTGCACTCCCTTTGAAAGAACAGACAATAAGGCTATTTCCCAAACTTGGGAAACATTCACCCAGAGGGCTTCCATCTTCCCATGATTCAAATTCTATTCATTGGCCCTCATCTAGCGCATCACAGAGTTTAGGCACACTGACTTGCACAGCCTCACCTGAAGCTGCCTGTGTTTTAAGGAACAGGTTTCACCTAATTCAAATGCAGGAATAGGAGCTGTAAGTGACAGCAACTTTAGCTATTTGCCTCTCTTCCAGGTGCGTATTGTTTGCTCTGCAGCAGCTCCGCTCCAAAGAATATTTGTTCTAGAACACCATGATAGTGGACTGGATGAAAGCAGGGTGATGATGGACGATTTGGGGTTGAGCCAGGTAAGCACTATGAACATCAGTGCCTTTGTTGTAAGAGAGCATAATTGTTTTTCCTCAGAGTATTGGCACTTTTGTAAAGCAAACCACCAAAAATTATTTAATGGGTCATTCTGTAGCTTTTTGGCAGGATCCCTGCAACACTTTTTCTTCCTTTGATATTTAATGCAATGCTATTCATAAATGGTTATTACCAATCAATTTTAGCATAATTCTAGAGATACTTCCTATCCTCATTATGCATATGTATCTAATATGTTAGAAATATTGGGTCAGGCTGATGATTTAACACAAGTTCAGATTCACTGGGACTTCATTTAGCTTTATATGTAGTATTTGTTTTGTTCAAGACACCATGATCAGAATCAGTTTATTGTCCCATAGAAGCAGCAATGGGCATAGGGGTGCGCAAATCTGTTAAATTATGTTAATTTTAAGTTTGTTTCCACATCAGTTTTTGAGGAGTGGGGGGACGGGTTTAAGTACATATGAAAACGTGTAAGCATTTTCATGCATATTTCTCCTAATGGATGTTTTTGTACATACTTCTAATATACTAATTTATGCAAGTGGTTTTCCCATATATAAATGCACTTTGTGTGCATTTTCCTTCAATATATGCATTTTATGCATACTTCTATTGCGACATATATTTGTGCTACACATTGTTTGCAAACTGCATCACAGAATTGAAAAAAGTGAAGCTGTCATGGTCCAATTCCATTCTGGTATGAAGGTTAGGAATGGGAAAATTTGCTAAATATGTATTAAAATTCGAACCAAGTTAATTTCTCATGCATCACTGACTATATGTTATGAGTTCAGTACAGAAGGAAGCTGATACGGCTTGTCAAAACTTGTGTATCAAGCAAATGGAACACTTCATTATAGTTTTTCAATATATCCATATATTGAATTGGGGTCAGAGTATCTAAAGGAGCACCTTTTCCCATATGAACCTACCTAGCCCCTTAGATCTGCATCTGAGTCCCTTCTGAGGAAGCCTCCTCCTCAGGAAATAAGGAGGGTGGCAACAAGAAGGGGGTTTTCGCGAGTGGCACTTTGAGTTTGGAATGAACTCCCCAGAGAGGTTCACCTGCTGCCATCTTTATACTCTTTTTGGCACCAGGCCAAAAAAGAGTATTTTTTTAATTCCACTGGTATTTTAATAGAATGTGGTATTTCTTTTATGAAAACATGAGTTCTGGTGGATGCATTTTTATTGTTTTATTGTGTATTGATTGTGGTGTTTTATATTGTTTTTAATATTGTTCTTATATGTTTATTGTTGTAACCCACCTGAGGAGCCATGTGGCTAATGGGGCACATTGGAAATCAAATAATATATAATGTTTATGATTTAGAAATGTTGTCAGTCTCTGCTAGAAAAAATGAAATGAGAACTATTGAGTCTTGAATTATTGCAATCTGTGACAAATGACTACCAGCAATTGTCTAGTAAAAGTAAATTTCTGCAATAGGTACTATGTTTGCTTACAATAGATCCCTTGTATATTGATTGAAGATCAATGTGGCTTCTTATGATAACATAGTAAAAATATTGGATGTAGTTAAAATGTTCTTGAACATACACACTTTAGGCCTCTTGCTGCTAATGTTTTATTGTATGCCACTGACACACAATAACTCATATTCTTCAAAAGAATGTTATTAATCCCATGGTGATACCATATATGTTGCATAAAGAGAGCACCATGTTTTTGGATAGTACGCCAATGCAATTTTTATACCATTTATGAAACTGTGTTTATCTTAGTTATGGCATGTGCTGGAATGGAAATGTTTCTGTATGGTAGTGTGGGGAACAGTTTTATAAATCTGGACCATTAATTTCTAGTGCAGGGTAAGGAACCTCAGACTCACAGGCCAAGCCCCACATCCATGGAGTTCCTCTGATAGCTATGTCCCTTCTCCTGGCCCTATCACCTTTTCTGACAGCCACTGATACCAAATGTCCATTATTTTCTGTCTCCTTTTAGTACTTTCTACATCTTTTTTTTCTTGTTTGTTGTCATCCCTCTTTAGGATTCGGCTAAAGCACTTTCTATGTTCACGGGAGAGGAGGAGATTTTTGCCTTTCAGCGTACCATGTCACGACTCACTGAAATGCAGACTGAACAGTACTGGAAAGATGGGGACAGGAGCAAGAAGCCATTGTAAAGAAAAAGTGAACAAAAACAAACGCAAATAATAAATGAGAGGAAGAAAAGTTCCAACTTAAATACAAATTATTTTTTAATAGACATACTAACAAAATATTGCACTTTATTCGTCAAATCTTTTGCCTTTAAAAAAATTATTGTTAAAGAGTAAGACTTACATAATAATACATTGGTGGGGAATAGTTTTGTGTCTGTGTGTATGTGATTTTTTTCCCTAGCCTAAAAAGAAGTCTGCATTGAAAAAGAATCAAAAACCATTTTCAATGTACTACCTGAAAGAAAAGAAAGAAAAATGTGCACTGACAGATCAAATGCCTCATCTCTATATAACATATTTATCAAAATAGCCAGCAGGTACATTAACTGTATCTTCTAGCACCTTTGCACCTCCGGTCTTTTGGTTACAGATAAGTTATAAAATTGCACCTTCGATACTCTTGAATTTCTCTACATTGTTTTCTTCTAGCCAGCAATTGAAAATAAAAGTGGGGTTCTAGCCAGAAAAATGAAAAAGTCAATTAACTGGATAAGCATCAGAGTGAACCTGTAAGCAGAATAGGGTCTGCTATGACCTACAATAGGGTTCTGTGTACGCCAGTCCTCTCATGTAGGACTGGTGTACAAGATTTAAACTGGACTTTGTACAGGGTCTGCAAATAGACTTTGACTTAGCACTGCTAGAAGTTTCCTTTCTTCCCTCCCCACAAAGACACTTATCCCATATAATTATTCACAGGAGTGTTCAGTAGATACAAATTTGAACATTTCCCCCTCACCCCTGGAACTGTTGAACAGATACACAGATACAAGCTTTCAGTGTTTCTGTTTCTCCCAGTAGCTACTAATCCAGTGTAATATTGGTATAACATAGTCATGTTCTTACATACTCCCAGCAGCACAGAAAAAAGTAATGCTTGTAGGCATTCATAGTGATACAGGACACCTGAAGAAGGCCTTCTGTTGAAAATCTTCATGTATGTGGAGGCTCAGGTAAGAGGCAAGTCTTCTTTCAGAAATTCCAGTCTTATGCCTCTCTAGCCCATTACCGTATCCAGATGTTAGTTCAACATTTCCACAGCATCACTTGCCCTAGATGATGTGTAGAAATAGAGAATAGTGTTATCAGTGTACTTGTAGCACATAATTTCAAGTCATGTGTAAGTATTACCTGAACTTTTCTCTACAAATACAATCACCAAGTGAAGGTAATGCAAACATACCGTCGAATTCATGCATGCTAAGTTGCAAAACAACTACTACCAAAAAACCATTGTGTCCCATGGGATTTAAGCATGACTGACTCTTTAGATTGGGGTCCATGTTTATTATGGTTAGTCACTTCATAGTTTTGCATACTTGGAATATAGGACATATTTCTGTTCTGAACTCATTTCATAAGATTGCATTCTTACAGTGCAAGCATTCCAAACCTGAGAATGCATGGCTGCTACAAAAGGCCACCCTATGTTTGGTGCTTCATGGGGAAGCTGTTTATTTAATTTTATAAGTACTGTGATTGCAAATATTGAAATATTAGACTAGGCAGGGAAGCATCTGTATAGAAATTTTACATGCAGCAGTTACAGCAAATATTGTGGAGGATCTCTATCCCAAGATTAAATGCAGTTGCTTACTTTCATGCAAGCCCATGGTAAAAGATTTGTTGTTGCTTAATGACTGAAAAAGTAAGTAATATATCACAATAGGATAGTTTAAATGTCCTTTTAAAGAATTTTTTACTTGATGTATTATATTTCTGAGTACAGCAAGCCCACTTAAAATGGAATTGGCATGTGCCATTTTTCCTCTTGTATAATAAGACAGATCTATTTGTAAATAAATGTGTTATTAATTACAGAGAATTACTACAGCCACATTGATTCCAATTACCAGAATCTTAAAGTAACAAGTTTCATTATTTCAAAGTTGGCAACTCAAATCAGATGCATAAAATTTAATTTTAAATTGACACATGTGCATTTAAAGTAGTGGAGCTTGGTCCACCAAAGTGTGGGACATAATAAATGTATTTTATTTATTTGCTTTTAAAATGGTCTAAGAGTATTGATTGCTTCTGCTGCAACAGAAGAACACTGCTCCCCCTTGGGAAATGGAAATACTTACATATTCCTCTCCCATATACACCTGGCATTATTTCCATCTATTGTTCATGTTGTTTCTATATTTAGCTTGTGAGCCTCATAGGTTTAAAGCATCGTGTATATGCATGTTGCTTTATAAAAATAAGATTTTTGTCACATTATTTGCCCAATAGAATAGAAAACTGAGTAGGTAGGTCACGTAATCTTTTGATTCCATTAGTAACAATGGAATTACATCAGTGACAATGGCTTGTAAATCTGAGCTTGTTGTTATAGGTTTTTTTGTTCCTTAATGGTTACTAACTTGCATTCTAAACATCTGAACTTGAGATGTCTGCCAAAAAAATAAAAAAATGGAACAGCTGAAGGACATAGCTTTATATAGAGTCAAGATGTCCTTCCTGAGCTTCTGACACTGTGCAGACTTGAGGACAGAAAATGTGAACCGCCCAGAAAGCTTCAGCTGTTGGATGGTATAGAAATTAAATTCATACATACAGATCATATATACTTACATAAAATAAATTTCAATCAGTCTTGGTGACATTTCAAAGATTTCTTAATGTCCTCTATGCTCATATTCTTCTAACAATAAGATAGAATAAAGGACTGTATCATTTTATTTAAGGTATGGACAAAGTTTATAAAGTTTACATTGAAACAGTGATAGTTTGCATACATGCTGAAAAATGTACACATAGGGTTCAAGCTTAGATTACCTGTAAACAGAACAATTGTTTGAATGTCATTTGTGAAGACTAAATATTTAATTCATAAAATCTTGAAAAGTTGCTAAACTGTTAGAAACGAGGGTGATCTGAGGGTTAGCAGAGGACACTTGAGCACTGAACCAAGGAGGCTTCAAGGCCAGGCTGTGGTGTAGAATAACCAGGGCTCCCTCAGTCCTGTGTTGTGGAGGAGTCGGAATCCACACTCTGTCACTGATGCTTAGTAATCCATGTTTGCCCAGTGCTGCTTCTGTCTTTTCTCTTACCAGAGAATGTCCAATTTTTTGAGAAGGATGGAAGAATAATGTCCATTGATATAGATGCCCAAAGTGCTACTCTTCCATAATTTTAAGAAGTGTGTTTTTAATATGGGCATTTATTAATACTGCCAGACATATTCAAAATAATATTAGCTGTTTACACCATTCTTTTCTCTCCTTTTAAAGAAAAAACATATTTTAAGTAGCTTCAAAGCCTTCTCCTGGCAATACACACACACACCCCAATAAAAGAAAGAAAAATCATACAACCACTTAAATCAGTTTTCTGCAATCTGGGGTGTGTTGTGCTTCAATTATGCCTGGACTCAGGAAGAAAAGTGAAGGGAAAAGCATGGGAGCTAGACCTTAACAGTTTTCCTCAGCCAGACTTTCCCAGACTGCTGCTCTTCAGATGTTTAGGACCCCAACTCCCACCATCCCCAGCCAGCATAGCCTATGGACAAGAATTCTAGGTGTTGTGGTCCAAAACATCAGAAGAGCAGCAGGTTGGGGAAAGTTGACTTAAATAATATTATAGTGCTATGTTCCTGTAATGCAATGTTGAGAAGGGGGAACCCTGTTCAGTCACAGGCCTTTCTAGCAAATTGGCTAATGCAAATCACCAGAACTGTGTTTTTAATTGTTTTATTTCTATATGGAGAGATGAAAGCCCTTCTCAAGTAGTTCATAAATTACCAATAAATGTGCTAATGATGGAAGCCCCTTCCAGAATTTCACAGACAGATGTTGGACTACAGCTTTCCATCTCTGCACATTGGCCATGTTTCCTGGTGCTGACAGGAGCTGGAGCCCAACAACATCCAGTGAGCCACAGTTTGCTTACCCCTGCTCTAAACTGTAAACCTGTGTCTGTGCCCCACTGCAGGTGAGAGCTCAGTTGGGTGAAAGTTCCTCCATGCAAACGAAAACAATTCTCCAGTGAGAAGGGATTTAGTTTGGTCCTCTATCTGAGCCCCAGGTGGTCCTTCAAGGAGTCTTTTCTATGTCCCTTTACCAAGGGAAACAACTTGTGTGGGAACAAAGGAGCAGGCCTTCTCCCAGTGGTGGACTGCCTTTGAAATATCTTTCTGATAGGAATTCTCCCACCCCTGCTGCCCCCCAGGTGTCCTGGAGCATAGCTCACAGCATCCCTAGCCATTGGCCTTGCCGGTGGCATGGGATGGGCACTGAAGTTGAAAATATCTGGAGGGCACTAGAGGAAGGAAGGCTGCTATAGAAACTTGACTGGTGCTGATGTTACTCCCATTCTAGTGCCAAGTAAAAACCTATTTATTATAACTAGGCATGTGAATGCTGCAAAGCTAGTTTGTTCCGAGACTGTTGTACTGTTTTTATGTTTCTGAGGTTGCTTCACTGTACTGCTTTTGTGGCATGCTTTCATTTTTTTCATGCCTCTTGTATTCCACCGTGGTCTATTAGCATGAAGGGCTAATACACAAACAAGTTAATATGAAGCAGGTTGAACAATTTTAATAAAAATAAAGCAGATGGAGTAGTGTGTGTCAAATAACTTTTTGTGTTGAAATGAGATGAATAATTTCCCCTATATTCATATTTCTTTGTGACTCGTTATATTCTGTTGAGGTGAACATCAGATGCCAATTGTGAAAGCTCTGCTAATTTTGCTCGGATTTCCATATCAACTGCAGTGCTGAGAGCATGGTAAGTTATTTATCTAAAGTGACAAAGAAGTAAAATACTTCCCTTTCAACTTCCTAAAATGCTTTTATAAAATAGTTGGAAATGAATTAGTCTATAATTGTGGAACAGGAGACTTAGTGGAAGTTAGTTTGTTTAAAAATTTTCTATACTGTCTTACATTAAAAAAGAAAAATCAAGATGGTTTACAAGAAAATTAATAGAACATTAGAACCAGGCAAACAGTACTTAATTTAAAATACAATAAATAATAATATATATTAGAACTAACAATTAAAAACTGGGCAAATGAAAGGTTTTCACCTGGTGCATATCTGGAAATTTTAAACTCATCCATTCTGAAATATTTCCCATTTTATGTGAGGGACTGAACTGAATTCTACCTCATTTTCCTTTCCCTTCCCCCCTTGAATCATGAATACTCAGGGTTCATGAGGTCTAATTCATCTGCATTTTTTCAGCCTCACTAGAACTGAAAAATGTTGAATCTAGACTTAGCCATACTTAAGGGGGACCCATTGATCTGAATAGGTCTTAAACTAGTTGAGACAAACTTAAGAATGATCATAAGTGGACCTAGTCCATCTAAGTCTGGATCTTTTTCTTTGGCTTTTTTTTTTTTTTGTTTAATTCTCATAATTTCTTGAAGCACTATGTTAGCAACTTTTAAATTTTGATTGTAACACTTAAATGATAGCCTCCTTATTGATTTTCTAAGATTTGTTCATCTGGCTGTGTCTATTGCTCTGTTACCTATGGATGTGCAAGTGAAGCAGGATCAGACTCTCAAGAGCTCATCATCTAATGTCAAGGTCAGACCCAAACTGCCTTTCATTATCAACATATGCCCCATGTTGAATATCATTTTCCTATAAAAGCAACTGGATAAATACTCTAGTCCATAGAAAACTAGCCATGCTTGAGTCCACTTGAAATCAATGGGACAAGTTATTAACCATTATGTCCCAGCAATTTCAGTGGGACTTAGGCACAGCTTAATATTCTCTTCCTTGGAGCCTCTCAACTACTGACAACAAGCTGCTTGAGAAGAATTATAGCAATGTAAAGAAGCCCAAAGTAGCAGTATCGCGCTACCTAGAGATCGAGCCAAGTGGGATGTCTCACTGAACATGTTTCACAAGCAAGCTGTAGTATTCATAGCTATCAGGCATGCATATGTCACATTAACCCACCTTGGCAATAAGCCACAGTGAGTTGGTTGTTGCATGAAAAGCCCATGGTGTCCAACAGACATTTAAGCTCACTGTGTGTTGGTTTTCCCTTCTCCCTTGGTCCTCCAACCAGAGACCCTGGAGAATATTCAAGTGAAGCCGCCTTGTCTCCTCTTCTGGCAACAATCATGAAGCTTTATAGCTTTTGACGGATCCCCCCCCCCCTTTCCCTTTAGTCTTGTAGACCACAGTGATTGTCCCTTGGGTGCTTGGGTTTCATTCATGGACAATTTGGAGATCACTGGATGGTTGTCACTGGTTGGTCACCTTTTAAAAAAAATTGTGCTCCAAGCGTGTGCAGTTTTTCATATTATTCTTATTTTAGAATTGTACAACTGCAGAGATATGCAGTTCCACAGATTGAAAAGTGGTAAGTCTTGGGTGGGCAATGACCTGGGAGTGGGGTATCTGCCATCAAAGTGAGTTAGGTACCAACCCTGAATGTTAGAGTAGCTCTGGGGGCAGGTATTTATTTTGCTTCAGTGTGACAGGTACTGGTATCCTATCTGCTCCAGGTACTTTGTTCCTTCAGGTGCTTTCAGAGCAGCTTTCACTTCATTTTCTAATTTTGCAGGCTGAACCATGAAAAATATAAAAACTCAGAATTGTGGTTGATCCTAATAAAGATACCCAACTATGCCATTTTGGTACTCTTCAGAGTTGTAATAAAAATGTTAATATTGCAACATTTGGTGTAGATTTTAGGATTTCAAGAAGTTAAAACCCAGGAACAGTTTTTAATAAAGTGTTCAATAATCCTGGAAATTGCCAAAATAAAGTATTTGAAATACCATAAGGAGCTTCCTTTGGTGATGGCTGTTTCTGCCTCCTTACCTGGACTGGGGACCAGGAACAGCAGAGCAATATCCTCTAGTCCCAAGATCTCTGATGCTATTATGCTTGCTGGGGATCAGGCAGGACATGGCCGAAGGAACAGTGAGTGAGTATTTTCTAAGTAGTAAATGCCGCTCTGTCTAATGGGGTTACTCCCTTTTAATTGTATAAGTTTGCAGTACAGGAGCACAGGTTATTGAAGTCTACAGTAGGTTCCCACAGTCTCCCTTGCCAGTGCATCATGTTCCATTTGCAATTAATTGATAACTGTTCAAGGTACTGGACAGCACATTGCTGATCCCAGGCACTCCATCATCCTCATCCGGATTTGGGCCTGAAAGACCAAGAAAAAGTATGAGTGCATAGAGGGTATGTTTTAAACAAACACAATTTGGGACACTGTGCAGTCCTGTCCTGAAAACAAGCCCCAGGTTAACTAGCTTGCCTTCTATAACATTTAAATTATATACATTATCCTAAAGGATGTTATGTAAATTAGCATATGCAAATTTGAGGGGGATTGTTCTATGGACTGAACCCTAGACTGTTTATCTGCCTAGTATTACCCCTGGCAAGGGCCATTAAGGAGTTATTCATTAGCAGTCTTCTAGCAGCGCACAATAGGAAATTGTAAAAATGGACGGGGTCACAAATATGGAACCATTTCATGAAAGGCACATGAGGCCTGAAAAGGCTCAATAGCTCTTTACTTATCTGGACTGGCTGGTGCCATAGTTGCACTTGCCCCTACCTCCTGCCCCCCGGTCCCCAAATCAGATCTGGCAAACACAGAATAGCCAGAAAACAGTGGTCTGCAAAAAATGAACAGCAATGCTGTCTGGATTGTCTGTTAAAAGCAAGTGAACGAAAAATGGCAATTACAGAGAAAAAGGCCAGTTTGGAAGCAGTCAAGGCTGAATGAAAAGTCCACCAAAGATTTTAATTCCTAGATGGTATAATAAACACTGGTGTCTTTGTTCTGTCCTATTACAGCCTCAACCTGCTTTATCACATGCATGCTTCATTCTGATCAGATCTATATATGATAAAAAATAATCAATAGCCCCAGTTAGTTTACATTGTATGCAACACTAAAATATTGCTCCAGTCATGTTATTTTAGATATAGCTAAGTGATAATAATGGTCCCATTTAAAATCACAAAGTTATAAATTTCAAAATAATGTGCTGAAATTAATACTCTGTTATTCCCACATGCTGTTCTATTTAGCCAGTTTCTCAAGACAGTTGCACGAAAGCATTCTGACAGAGTATTCCTGCCATAAAATTCATCTGCCAGTGTCTAGCACCACCAAGTGTTCAACTCAATTTGTTTGCAGTAGTATAAGAAAACACGTGATTTTTCCTCTGCACCCACCCCATTGTTGCTGTCACTGTCCTACTCGATAAACTATTTATTTAAAATATTTACAGGTCATTTCTCAGGGCAGAATCCCATCCAAGGCAGCGCAAACAGTTAAATGTGTATAACAGAATTCATAATATTATGTCAGCAAAGCAGTGTAATCAGTTGTGCTGGGGTGGAGTGCAAGCTGAGCTTTGCTCTGGCCAAAGGCACAGTGCTAGAAAGGATAATGGTGTACCAGAAGTCAAGAACACCCATCTCTAGCCACAAGTTAGCCAGTGCAGCTTGAAATTGCTTTGAAGGAAAAGAATCGAAATCTCTTGAAGTTCTTATGTGGGATAGAAGCAAACTGTAGCATTCAGAAATTGTAATTGTAATCAAATTCTCAAAAATTGAAGGAAGTATGTTGTACACTGAGGTGGGTCTCCTCAGGATCCTGAAATTTGTAAATTGTCTTGAGATTCCTCAGGAATATAAGATGGTATTAAAAATGAATAAATAAATTCTAGTCAAAAGACCGGTTTCCATATTTTTAGCATAGTTATCTGCATGTATTTCTAATGCTGATTATCACCATGAAAATAAGGTGATTACCAAAATTTCCAGCCAATGGTCTGCTGCTGTTGCCCATTTCTTGGAAGATTAGGATGGCATTTTAGCATCCATGTTCTAGAGCAGAGCTGGGCAACTTATGATCTTCCAGATGTTTTGAACAACAGCTCCCATCAGCCAGAATTGCCAGTGGTGAGGGATGATGGCAGCCTAACCCTGATCTAGATACTTCCCATCACAGCTCTTAAAATGGTTTGGTCTGTATGCTAGACCTATCCCTGTCCCTCTCTTCTGAACTTGACTAATATCTGGCCTCTGATTCTCTCTCTCTCTCTCTCTCCCTCTCTCTCTCTCTCTCACACACACACACACACGGGGGGGGGGGAGGAGAGAGAATTTTTACATTTTAGATAAGCCGCAGATTGAAGGCTTATATTTCCCCATGTGTAGCTTATAAATTTTTAGAAAAAATAAATAAATACAAATGCACACACTGCTGTGTGAGGCATGAAAGAGGAAACCCACAAATGTGGTTACCTGTCTCATTCTGACCTGACAAAATTTGTCCTGAGAGATAGGAACCAGTTCCCACATCTAGCAAAACACATTAATCAAAGCAAGGAAGTGCATGTTATTCTAGGACCATGTACCCTGGAAAGGTAGCACAAGATCCTTCCCCATGATTTTTATTTTCTTTCATAAGCTCTGTTCACTGGAGCTATTTGCAAGTTGTGCTACAAATTGTGAATCAATTAATCTGAAATTTTCTCTGGTGCATGCTGGACAGGTTCTGCAGCCATTTTGAATATTCAATCCCCAGTTGGACCAATCCAGGATTGCTACATGATGT